CTCTCTCTCTCTCTCTCTCTCTCTCTCTCTCTCTCTCTCTCTCTCTCTCTCTCTCTCTCTCTCTCTCTCTCTTCTCGAAAGACGATGCGTCTGAATGAGTCGCCATCCTATTTCTGTGTGAAAGAACTTCTTCCGGAACTCTTCCATTAGTGTCCTGGGTAATCCTCCTACGCAAGGACCCTGTCTTCTTGTCTTGTGAATGGTAGATGCGTGCGTACTGTGCAATGCGATCCATCTTTTCCTGTGCTGGTCTCATTTTTGCACCTTCCACAGTGAAGGGACGTATGGAAATGTTGGACTCCTTTCATATTGATTAGACGATTGTCGCCGGGATTTTGTTCGAGAATGCAAGAGTGTTTAGATCTGTGGTTCCGAACGCACTACGCATGCCATCTGCCTTATGCTGCACGACATCAGCAGCCAAGCCACCGGGCGGCCTTGAGAAATAAGGCTCCAGGGACCAATGTTGTGTTGAACTGAGTCACTGATCGGTCCCTTAGTCATATGCATGATCAAGTGGATGTGTGTTTGGTCTCGCTCTTGTGTCAAAAGGGTTGATTGAGGGTCGCGCGAATCGCTTCTGCTTTAAATGACGTCTCGGGATATTTGTGATTGATTGTCATGTGGACTGACCAGTACCCTTCGATTGGGCGTCAGTCTCCCGTATCTCCCATTCCAACGCGACCCTTTCCCTACAGTGAGGAAAGGACACGTGTATGTGAGTGGGACGTACGAGAAGCCGTCGCACAAATCGCCGGACACTATTGCTTCCCTCCGGCCGATCGTTGTTCAGTGTTCGTAGACGCCGGATTTGTCATTATCGATACGCACTTTCCACCGTACTCAATATTGTTGTCGTTTAACGAGTTTATCGTCATTCCGTGGACGGCAGTGGCGCACCATTGGCCCCGCACTCTGTATACGGAGTGCCAACATTTCAATCGCCACGAAGTGAAGGACTTCCACTACCGAATGCGGAGTTAGGACGAGCATAAGGAAAGAGCCACTCGGCTGAGACCATCCACGTCGGACTCGGAACTGACCAGCGAACGACGACGAGATCTGATACGAAAACGAGACACGCAAAGCGTGCCAAAGCCTTTCCGATCTAAACGACAGGCCGTAGCCCGGTGGGAAGCTCGACAATACTTTTTGGATTGAATTTGGATCTTTCTGTTTTCGCGCCATGACCTCGCGTGCATTCCTCGACGCGCGAAATTAATCGACTTGCTACATCAGACCTACACGGGGGATTTCAGTTCCATCTGTGTCCCCACACTCAATTTCCAAAAATCCTTGGCACACCCCATCTTGCTGTTTTTCTGGGCCTCTTTCTGCCTGCCTAACACTCTGAACGGAAGACAGCACAGGGCATGAGGTTTGCGCATCACACCACCTTGAAAAGATCCCCCAAGACCCAACAGAACCTCCACTCGCCTCCTTCACCTCCCCAACTCCGTCCTAGTAAAGAGCTCGACCGACCGTGTCCTGAGCAAGAGCCAGACACAATCCTCACCCTGCAATCTCCTGCCCCCTCGGAGATTCCAGTTTCCATCATCGAGGGGGTGAGCCAGCACCGCCTGACGCCAATCGCACCAAAGTAAGCCCTCATCAGCCGGTACCCATCTGACAACCAAAGTTGCCCGACGCCAATCGCATCCGATGAAAGTTCCCCTAGCCGGTACCCCTCAGACAGCCCCGATGCAACCCTCTCTCCGTCCTTACAAAGAGTCATCTCGTGCCCTTTGCTCTCCATCTTGGACAGATCCCCCTGCTCAACAGAACTGCCCCATATGAATTTACAAAATTTTTCAGAGCGAATTTTAGTTGGTTATTTGAGACCACATGCCATAGGGATATACCCTCAGATGCCCTAGGTAAGACCTTCGACCAATACTATGAATTCTCAGTTGATTTATCCGGCAAGAACTGAAATCACTAAGACTTATTACCAGCAAAAACTAATGAACATCAAACTTTAGAAGTCCATTGTAATACAAAGGAGGATCAATTAATTTGGAAAACCACAAGAAACACAATAGGAAAAAGAATCTGATGTTCACCCGGACTTTTGACCCAGAACCAAGGTTCAGGAAATCGTTCAGACCGAAGTCAGAAAAATACTACAATAGTGAGCGTAATTTGGATCATAAGATTATCCAAGATTATCTGAGATTATCTATTAAAAAAAGAAGATTTATAATCAGAAATCTAAAATTCGATAGGGATATCGCTCATAAAAAAAACACCTAAGAACAACGAATTTGAGCAACTACGCAAAGGATACTGTAGAAAAAAAAATTCCAAATTGATTAGGAATTTTTTCAAACAGATCAGAAACAAACAAGGTTCACTGAAAATTGGGAAAGTCTGAATTAGATCGTCAATGAATGATCATCAAGGATTACGAATAAAAAGGGCAGAAAAAACAGACAGGTAATATAGGGAGTAAACTTGAAAGAGGGTGGCCCAACGATAAACTCAACGAAAGCGAGCATTAAAAATAACCGTCTTCCCCTACTTCCTCAACCCACCAACTTACCTTATCCTCCTCAAAC